AAAGGTACTTGTCAGTATCGGTGAGTTTCCTGCAAACTCGGTGATCGAGAGGATTGCCTGGTTCCTTGGCCAAAAGTACATCCAGGAAAGATCGTAGGTGGAGCTTAACTTCTATTCCCATAATAAACTTGACATTTGGATGGTGCAAGTTAAGGAAGTCGTGAAAATTCACCAGACTTTCATGAGGCCAAGTCACAAAGTTATCATCTACATATCTGGACCGGTTGAATGATTCGAGGGGATCTTCCTTGAAAATTCATTCCTCGAAAGATTCTTCTCGGGAGAGAAAATAGGTAGAAGCGGGACAGTGCTGTATGAGGGGGAGAGCAGGTTGTTCGAAATATGGTCCTTGGTGATGACGATGGTATTGGACACTGGCAAGTCGAGGAACAGCGTTGTGAATTATCAACTAGATAGCAATCAGTCAGGCTGCAACTGGTCGATTGACGTCGCGAGCCTTGAACGCTATTAACGCTGAAGCTGAAAGTAGATTAAAGATGTCTATTAAGGTTGTGTTTAGTAGTTTATTTGAACTATTTAGTATACACAGAAGAGTATGAACTGTACGTAATGGAGTTAAACTTAGGCGAGTGCGCGCGATGACTGTCCAGCTTACATTCTAACTGTCCGTTATCTGTCACGGGGTGTGTTTTTGTCAATGTTTCCTGTGAAGTGAGAATTTATTCTATCCAATCCTGTAACTGTCGAACTGTCGTGGGCGTCTCTCGTGTGGTGCATCTTGTGCGTACATGCTGGAGGGCGCGTAACGCAATGTCCTGGTCTAGTGTCGCGTTCTCATTGGGTGTTGAGGTTGATGATATTAAGGATTGAGGAGCATTTAGGGTGTCATTTAACCTCTTGACGGGGTCCGCATTGTAAATCTTACACCTTGCGAGGTGAGAATTTCCAACTTTCCAAAAGAGCAGAAGTATTGTTTGTGTCGTAAACTGAGGATCACCCAAAATCCCGAACAAAGAGAGACTGTCTGTCGAAACTGACCAGAATATCGTTAGGTTGAGTGCTAATGTTGCGGACTTTCTCTATGTGTGTTTAATATAGGCAAGGCACTTGCCTGTTAGAGGCAGGAGTATGTTAATGGACTAGTAATTGATGCAATCGTCGAAGCTCCTTGTAGCGTTTTTTGAATATTAGCTGCTACCAAGTAACGATCAGCTGCCGCGGAGAGCTCGTTATCCCTTTTGCTCGTTTACCTGGCCCTGTTGTAATCGGTGTGTGCTTTCGCATCAGCTTCCTGAATTGCAAATTCTATCGAATTTTAAGGGATTGTTACAATGATTCTCAACAAAGTTGTCTACATATGAATTTCACACGCCTTTTTGCTGTATCTCACTTGCTTCCTTGTTTCTCATTCCTGCATCCAATAATTTGTAAAAGGTGATCGTTAACAAATTTGAAATTATAACGCAAAAGAAGATATTCAAATCGTTAAGAATGAAAAATACCGAACAAAGTTGCAAAAAAAGAAGAAAACGGAAATTAACATTCTACAAATTACTTTTCTGTCCGTGTTCTCGTTTATAATCTGTATAACTCTAGTCCTATCAACAGCTCATAGATGCTAGAATGTAGATGTATGATTGTGGTAACAAACATATATGTAACTAAAGCTGTCACTTTCCAAGTTCTCCCGCGTTCGAGTTTCGAGTTACGTGAATGATTCTGTACTTCATTGATGCTATCTACGATGATAGACGGTCATATGTATATTAATATTTGAGAAAATACATCTTCACTCTAGTACAAAGAAAACGTGATCATACGAGATATTAATCTCACGCCTGGCCCTTATTATGCAAAAATGCGGATCTTACATAATGTTTGATTATGCAATATGGTAATATGAATTACATTTATGGTAATATGAATTACAATACTTTTCAAACGTAATCATCCGTGCCGTAATCATCAAATATTAGTGTCATCGAATATATACAAGATTATTAACCCTTTGTATTTATAATATATAGTCAAAATTATACACTATGTTAAAAAATGATTTGTCACGATTACCATAGTGTCATTCTATGTCTCTGGAGCAGTAGAGATCTATGAAAAAAAGGTCACCGCAAAATTGGCTTTCGCCTCGAAATTCCAGGCGAAATTTCTCCACTGACCGTGCAGATAAAAAGTCTCAAAGGAAGCATGCGTCGAAACTCAACCATTCTCTTGGAAAAATGTGTTAAAATTTCATTAGTTTTCCAACTCATTTTATTTCTAACGTGGATACAGTCAAATGCAGGGAAAATAGTATTTATCGTCGCACGTAGATACCCCAGATACGCTGTTATACAGAGTGTAGCTGAACTGGTGGTACAAGCCGAGAAGAGGAGAATCTAAATGAAAAAATAAATCGAAAATATAGAGTGATATATGTCCGTACAAATGATACATTTTCGACAAAATCGAATTTGAAATTCAAGTATGCTTGAATACGATTATTTCCGCACTGGATAAACGTAAATAATCAATAGCAGGTTGTTCTACGTGTGAAATTAAGTAAAAAACGTAAAATAAATTTTGTTCACAAGACGCTTCGTTTCTGAGAAAACTTTGTCACAGGCGTGTACTAGGCCAATTTTTTGCTAAACATGTTCGTACTCTACTTTTTTGAAGATAAAGCGAAGCAATTTTATTCCATATTTTTCACGTGTTGTCGCATTTACACTAATCTCTTACTGATTGTTTGTTCGTACCTAGTTAATAATTAGCTAAATTCCAGTACACTTGATAAATTTTCAAACTCAATTTCTCCGCATGCAGAGGTTGAGAATTTTCTGTTTTGAGAAAAAGATATATTACATGTCCTGTTAATAGGATATAATTAATTTGTCAGACCGCTTACACGTTACTGGCAATAACTAGAATCATCCATGTACGAACAGTAACCTATTTGGTAACCTATTGATTTCATAATCTGATAAAGAGACAAACATTTATTTTTTTATGTTAACTTGTATTAATTTCCTACTTTTAAGTATCAATCATTTTTTAAAATAAGCGCGAGGGTGGAAAGGGGAATGGGTCCCAGATATAAAATTTTAGTTTCGGGTATTCATTAGTTTCTGAGATACCAATAAAAAGCTTTCGGTATTGTACATTGAATTTTGTCTACACAGACGAGTATACAGGGTGGTTGGTAACTGGTGGTACAAGCGGAAAGGGGGTGATTCTACGCGAAAAAAGAAGTCGAAAATATAGAATAACAATATTTCATTTCAGGCTTTGTTTTCGAGAAAATTGACTTTGAATTTTCGCTCGGTACGCGTGCACTTTACCGCGTCTCGTTATAACGAATCTCACTGTAGATCGTTGTTTCGATGGAAAAATTAAAAAAAAAAAATTTTTTTAAATTTTTATTCTATATTTTCGACTTCTTTTTTCGCGTAGAATCACCCCCTTTCCGCTTGTACCACCAGTTACCAACCACCCTGTATACTCGTCTGTGTAGACAAAATTCAATGTACAATACCGAAAGCTTTTTATTGGTATCTCAGAAACTAATGAATACCCGAAACTAAAATTTTATATCTGGGACCCATTCCCCTTTCCACCCTCGCGCTTATTTTAAAAAATGATTGATATACTGACAGTCGTTGAAAAAAAACTAACTTGTGTTGGAATGATTCGATAACAAGCATTTTTAATCGATTTGACGTTCATTTAAGACAATCTTATTATATTTTAATACTTATTGTATTTTATACGCATAATTGTGTCGTTTTAAGATTCAAGGTCGTTGAGAGGTAGCCTTATGGTAACCAACACGTCTTATCGATTCGATTATTACTAAATTGTAGGTAATAGGAATGGAAAGAGAATATGGGGTGGTATTTCAGATCACCTTAATATTTCAAAAAATTTTAATTGTAAAAGAGATAAAATCCATTCGTTTGATGTATAACGGATATAATGCATATAAGTCGTCTTTTTATCAATAAACAAATTATTTCATCAGATCGTTCGTGATAACTATGGAAAACTACTCTACTACTGCAGCCACTTCTGTTGTTGACAAATATGAGAAACCCTGTACGTTTTATTTGACAAAACGTTTGCTCAATGCACCAACACTCGGCCACTGAGCTGCCCCGAACGTCAGCAAAACGAGTGAGCGGCTGAGGCCGAGCAGAAAATTCCGTGTCCACTGATCTCCGATTCACTGACCTATCGAACTATGACTTGTAATCCAAGAGAAAACAGCTCTTCATCGTGTACTATAATAACTCACCGCTTGGGAACCGTCTAACTTTGTTGCATTGATGATGAAAATGAAGTAAACGAAAGTATGGCATCCGACCCGTACCTACATCGGATGACGAAGCTCCACTGAAATTACCAAAAATTTATATATTTTTTGACTGTTGTCACAAAGTTAAATGATTTTCACGCAGCTAGTTCTCTTACACGCTACAAAGTCACTATGTCCCGGACTATTACTATTCAAGCGCCCAGAAGCGTGTAGCAACTCATCCAGCCTGAAGTGATTTCTGACTCGCGAGTTCTCGATTTTTTATTTTTACGCGCAAAAAGATTAGGTCGTAAATTTCGACTGCGGAAATCAAACACTATAGATACCTATTTATGGAAGTATGCCATAAAGTAAAATTATACCTTTGAAACCATATTAAGTTAACACGTTCACGCCGATACTGCTATTTGTATTTCTCGCCATGGGAAGTGGGTAATATTAAGATGAAATAAAATAAATCCTACTTTCTTTCAATTAATATACGTTAAATTTCCATTATTTAAATTTTCAACTATATGGCAATTTTTTCTAGTTACTAAACGAACTACATTTTTGTTGGTATGCACCGTCCGATGGAACATTCAAATGTGAGCCATCGTTGGTGCACGCCGGCGTGAACGCGTTAAATGCAGTTAACGAATATATATCTAATATGTAAATGCTGTAGACACACACATTTATACAACAGATCTAACCGTCATATATGTAATTAATTGTTCTTTTGGTCTAGAACTACATCTTGTTGCGAAAACAACTCCCAGTCCTTTTGTGAAAATCACCGATCAGAAACCATCGAGAAAGAAACCTATACTAAAAGGGAGAAAGAAGAACAGCAACAGCAACGGCAGAAGAATTCATATGGGCAGTTTCGACGATTTCGATTCCTCTGGAAACGACGACGATTTCAGTACTACGCAAATCATGGGCGGTAGCACACTTCAGGAAGGCCACAGAACAGAAAGGCCATTGATATCACCATCGCTACCCCCACCTTGGGTGAATATAAACACAGCCAATTGTAGGCATCATTTAGTATCGATCACGCTATTCTTTCCGTTATTCATCTTAACTATGATATTTGTTCCTTAAAATATACATTCTTACGAAAAAAAAAGTTTGACAACGAAATTCATGCAGATAAGATTGGAAACGATTCGGGAATACTATAGAGAATAATAAGTATATTTGATTCGTTCTTCGTAGCACGAGACTATGAAAACGTGCTTGTATTATAAAAAAAAATGTGGTATTGCTTTTTACGATTGGTACATGCGACGGAGAGAAAACAATTTATATAATAAGTATAATAAGTATAAAATTTTATTCATGTTACGTGACAATAATCCGACTTCGAACGATAGTACAATTTATGTTTATCCGAGCATTATAGCAAAAGAAACATAAGAACTGAATGAGTAAGTTCTATGACAAATTTTATTATTGATTCTTAGGAAAACTAATATTTTTAATATGACAATTTTATACTGAAAGGTACAAGAATTGAAACAATTACCTAGAATTCTGTATTGAAATTTTAAAAATTTTTTTCTTAACGATCCAAAAAATAACAATCATTAATTAAAAGAAAACTGTAAATTATTCGTGCTGTATCTTAATCTGGAATACTGATAAACATTTCTAACGCATAAAACATACAAAACGTTATGTAATAAATAATGGATATATATATATATATAGTATAGATATATATATATATATCCATTATATATATATATATATATATATATATCCTACGTAATATATATATATATATCCTACGTAAACGTATAATGGGACAAGTTACAAAGTACGTGTGCAATAATTACAAGGATGTTATAAATATACTCCTTTTCTGCTATAACAATCCTTTTCCAGCCTTTAATCATTTGCACATTCTGTTTAATAAATAGTATTTTTACAATGAATCTATTTAATATGAAGTTATTTTTTTATTATTTGTTGCTTTTCGTATTTCTTGAAATCACACCCAAAAAAGAAGAACCATAATATTGAAATATAATCTTAATATTTGCTATATATTGTCTCGCAGACAATAATTTGTTGCTAATGCAAACGATATTTACAACAATACTAGTCAAATTTTTTCTATCAATTTTCTTTAACAATAAATTGAATCCTTATTGAGCAACTTTGATGTCATATAGACATCTAAATAATTATCCCTACCCTTTAATATGTAATAATAAGTACTTCATAATATACCATAAGGTTTTTTTGTTATTACTCTTATTTTACTGGAATTATTTTACAAGAGTAAATATGTTTAGTATTATGTATTAGTTATATCATTCTAGTTTTGTTCCGAAATATTTTACCAGCATATTGTATAAGCAAAATTAAGACGAAAATGTTATGTAAGCGGTCGCTTAAATTCTTTCTCAAAAGGTTATAACAAAAATACGAAACGATAATGGACTGGTGTTTCATCGATACAGCATAAGAACAGATTGTCGATATCTATTTAACACGATTGCACAAAGTCTAATTCACTTGCTAAGATCAACTTAATTTGCTCAACCAGTTAAATAACAATTACCCTAAGGGATAACTCCCACATCACCATAAATCACGCCAATGGATTTTTACATGTGCTCACTGTGAACAAAAAGTTCATTAAGTACAAGTTAATACGCGTCAGGAGTTAATGCAAAAGATCCGTGACGTATTTGTTGCAATTAAAGAAAATGAAGAAATAATCGGTACCGTAATAGATTCTATTTTCCGCCGATGCATTAAGACGATTCTTAATAACGTGGTCGAACAAAAAAGCAGCCTTTGGCAATTTCGTAGTTTTGTTATAGCTTTCTTAAACCATTTAAGAGCCCTATGCTTACATAACATTTTCTTCTTAATTTTACTTCTGAAATATGCTGGTGAAGCTTTAAAACTGGAACTATGTTAAGATCATATGAATCGAGTTGAACAAGGTAAACTAAATTTAATTAGTCTAAAGTGGGTTAATTGTAAATCAATTTTAACATAGTACCATGTTTATTACTGGTTTTTACAGATAACTACAGTGAACATCACAAATAAATAACATTATAATATAATTAATATTACAGATAGCGCGAATAATTACAGATATTTAATAAATCTCACATTACTATGACATATTATGTTGGGACAACTACAAGTATTTGAAGAAAAATAAATGATTAATATAAGATAACAAATTTATAAACAATATTATTTAAATCGTATTAACGTATTGAAACTTTGTTAGTTTGAGAATGTACCAATGCAAGAAGCAAGACGTGTTTTGATATGTTAATTTAACAAGCTTGCAGATGTTCCCGATCGTTTCAGGAAAAGTTAATTAAATGGTACTGACAATTGCTTTGTAAAACTGATTACTCATCAACGTTTACAATGAAATTGATCTTTAGAAGAGGACAGTCAATGGAAATTAAATTCTTATGGAGACGAAAAAAATATAGGTCTTCCTTGCGTTCGACGTAACAAAGACGAATATATACATATATGTATATTTAGATCTAACGAGATATAGTTATTGTGGCGCGACCAACATGAAAGCGTTTCTCTGAACAATGTACTGTAAATATATGAGTAGTGTTCATGAATTTCAATTTACACATCTGCTAGACTTCAACTGCGTGTAGATCAACAAATTATATTATATTATACACGAATTTCACATACTCGTTAACAAAGTCTTCATATCAAAATAAACATTATTGATATACAAACTAAGAACGTTCAAAACATGAAACAACCAGCTTTAGCGTACTCGATGTGTCTACGCTTTATATTTGCGTTTAAAAAATCTTTTAAATACATTATTTTTCTATATTATACTAATAATTACTTTGCGCTAAATTAAAAAGTACATTCGCGCTCATAAGAAAGAAACTACATGTACATGTACCATGAACCTCGTTTGTTTTGAATCTTCGGTTGTTATTTATTATACAGGATGAAAAATTTCATTACAGTTTGCTCTACTACTATCGTGTATAGAAGTTGATCAAAAAAATTGCACATAACATCTCGACTTTGTATGAAGACTTTTGAAAAATATTCTTACTGCATAACAAATTTTTATATTTTTATTATTTGAACATAAGATACGTGGTCTTTATCGTAGTTTGTACAACGTATAAGTTCTATTATGATCCAATGCAATACAGAACGCGTATCATATATTCAAAGATGTATGTATAATTATAATTTTTAAAGTATCTGCCTAAATGTAAAAAGTTATAATGGTTTTGCAACGTGACTAATATCTCGAGTTTCGTGTCGAAACAAAGAGATGCAAAAGTAAACAACTCCATGGGAATTATCCAATTTATTTCAATACATAATTCCTTCCAAATTACAAATTCTTAATTTAAAAATTCAATTAATATAACTTCCAAAAGTATTTTGCATTATTTTCATCGCTTTATATAATTAAGTTAAAAGTTCTCAATTGCTGTAAATTAATTATTAAAATCATATAAAAATTCGTGTTGAGTTATGAACCACGAGCACTAATTGCAAAGAAAATACAGGAATATCAATCTATTACGTACCAAAGATATTTTAACACAAGTTTAACGATGAGGAGTGCAATGTGTGTAGGTGTGTGTACTTATGGAATCACTAAATATCAAAACAATGAAAAATTTTCATATGCGTAAATGTCAAATGAAGCTTATTTTATTTTTAATGCTATGTCAAAAATGCCAGTTCACGTGCAATCTTACCTTACGCTGGTGTACAGATTCGAGTGGGCAGCAAGGAACGTTCAGTGCCATATCACGATATTACTCGGTAAGCAGGGCTCGTAACGAAGAATATTCAAAATCCATACGACGCGCGTGTATCATTCCAAATCTCATCATGTACATACAAGGTGCGACAACTTTATGACATTTAGCGTTGTATAGTATCGGATAATTTGCCCATTCACTGAAATCCACAGCGATTAATCAAACACCACCTCAAAGGACATTTGAATAGGAAGGGTAAATGTATTCTTTCTTTTTTGCATATAAATCTGCCTAATAATTTTCGTAAATGAGTAAATAATCCTTATGCACATGAAAAAATGCATGTACGAACTGCACACACTGTGATTAGCATATTATGATTATCAACGAGACAAGAAGTATTTCGCATGAAAATAATTCGAAATGGCTACATTCGAACCAACCACTATAAGAATAGTTGTGCTGTACAGTGAATCAACTAACGAATCTTCTTGTATATTTCACTCATACCAATACTTCTCATTCTGAAGCTTACCAAACAACTGAAATTCAATATCTACACATCGATCACACGTACGTATTCATCGAAGATACCTGATTCTCTCTAATGCAAATAAATGTTCAAGAATAAAGATTGCAATCAAGAAGAGATTGCAACGTTAAGAACAATTTTTCGTAAGAATTCTTATATCTTAAATATTTATCCCGTTCGCTATTGAACCGCAACGGTTGTGTCGCTTAAGGCCACTATACGCGTTGAGACATGTTGAGACCTCTACATCAGTTTCAGTTTACCTACACAGTACCGATTCCTCTCAGTTTGTGCTGCGATGCCAACATTGGAACACGTGTTTTAAAATGTTTGATTATTTTCCAATTCCAGTATCATTATCAATAATACAAAGTAGGTTGATTATAGAAAATAAAAAGTGAAAAACTAAAAGACTGACTTACATAACTGCAACGACATAACCCAGACTGAAAGGGAATATAAGGCAGGACACGTACAATTGTCATTGTACGATTCCAAGCAACAATTTACAACAAAATGACTAAAAAGAAATGGGCGAGAAGATGGTTAACTGAGAGAAACAGATTTTCCAATTGGACGTTATTAAAGACGTTAAAAACGAATGCAGCGAGTGATTACAGAGATTATTTGCGTACTTATATTTCTACTCTTCGACATCTGTTGGATAATAAGATCTATTAAATGAACTATTGGCCCAAAGATTGAGGAACAAAATACAATGATGCGAATCTACTACAAATTAAATTTGGTATCGGTGTCACCCTGTACATATTGCAACTAGCATTCCGATCGGACCTCGCTCATCAACTAAGGATTCTGATTGCTGCATCGATGCAATAATCCTTCGATTATTTCCACGTCTTAATATCCACGTCTTAATTAATGATAAATTTGTATGATCATGTCATAGCATAGCTATATTTCACGCCTAGCATATATCCAAATATTAATATAATTCAAAAAG